TGAAGCTTTGGCCCCCGTCTCTGTAGGCCACCATCACACACAAGGGTCACACAGTCCCTTGGCTCACCATCCGGGCATATTCTCCGACCTCATCAAGGGCTAACCCATTAGAACCCTTATCGGTTTATTCTTTATGCCCATGTAACATGGTTTTTTTCCAACCGATTGGCCTAGAACGTCAAGCACAATCTGGTATCTGCAAATATCGTTTGCTTAGTATGGCCCACGAGGGACCACACTCCCACTAAATTCATGTTCCACTATATCATTTTATTTTACAAGCAATCATAAGGCCTTTAAATGCCACATAAACCCAACAAAAGTAACCCATACATAAGCATATATAGAGTCATGGCGACATGATGTTTATGTTCTCCCTATTCTTTTCCATCCCTGGTTCTCTCCCTCATGTGTAGCACTCGAAGCACTTTAATTTTATTTTGTTATTGTTATTTTTATGATTCAAAGACATAAGGTTTGGTCATGAAAGAGGAACAAAAAGAAAAATAAAATAAAATGTATTAATGCGAATGCCATGTTCATCTCTCTCTCAAAAAGTGCACAAGCATATACATTAGGACTAGTGTTTGAAAATTGGACTTAGGATCTGGCTCACAAAGGGTCTTAGCCAAGTGCCCTAAATTTGACTCCATCTCAGTTGGAACAGTTATTTTAAATAAAAAACTAAATTATATAAACACATCATAAAGTCCAGATACCACTACGCAATGCCCATAGGAGACAATGAACAATATTTTTGCCTATGGACTAGCCACTATCCATTTTTTTAGATGACGAGGAAAAATCTGCCGCTACAAAAATACTATGTCCGTTGCGGTAGATTTTTCACCTATTACGGGGCGAAATCACTGTACACTTTCGCCATAGGCATGGTTAAGAGTTTTGTCTTTCGTGGGTTTTCGACCCAAAATCACTTAGGCTGTTGATCCTATACTGACTAGGGCAATTTCAAGTCTTCTTGACCATTTTTAAATAATTGGACCATGAAAAAATGTTTAAATCACTAGGCCTTACATCCTTCATGGAAGCAAAAAAGCAAATTCAAATTAGTGAGTACACCGCATGCTCCTAAGTTACACATTGGCTTTTTTGACATTTCCTCTCTTTGCTTGTTGTTACACAAGGTATATTTTCATGATTCAAAGTTATTATTATTTTTATATGGTAACGGTGGGAATAGAAGTCCCCCTAACCACCGATGTCCCATCATATTCTCAAAATTATTCAAAATTGTCGGAGAACAATGAATTTGGTTAATTTAGAAGTCACCAATTGCCAAGATTACAAACAAGGAGCCCTTGAGAGAAATTAGTAGTTGTTGATTGGGAATAGATTGCAAAGTGCAATCCTCTGTTTTGCAGAGGAATGCAATAATGTCAACAGATGCTTCCAAATAATGGCAATGTCAAGTAGGAAGGACTGATCCTTTCATCATAAATGGTGTTGAGCTGAGCCTCTAAGGTTTTTATTTGGTGATCTATTTTAGACGGTGTCGAATTGATCAACAATATGCATGATTTGTAGGTATGTTTTGAGGACATGATTATTGCCTGAACAGGAGGGATCAGCTGATACGGGAGCCTTCAGGTGATGGAGATTGATTTGTTTGTAGGGGAAGTATAAAAACCTTTTATTTCTTTATAATGATAGGTGAAGATAGAGTCGACCAAATTTGATAAGGGTGTAGAAGGTTCCTAATTCCCCATAAAATACATGCTTTTATTGAGCTATTAAGTTTAAAAAAGTTATCGGCAATAAACATGTTGAAACAGACAGCCAGGGTAATCATTGATGTTTATCAATGTGCCGAAACATGCATCTTCGATTTTTTATGCCTTAGATTTGACTCTGCTCACTTCGATGGGGAATGTTTGTTTTTAGGATAATGAAAGCTGCCTTTTTATAGGAGGCTTGAAAAGAGAGATATCATATCACTTTATGAGGAAGTGGTTCTTGATGCTGATAGAATTATGAGGAGAATAAGTGTTATTACTCAGGAATTTGCCATACTTGGGGTTACTCAAGAATGTAGTGGGGGCTAAGAAGTGACCTCTTTTTACACGATACGTGAGGTCTCTATGATGTGGAGACACAAAGTAGAGCATCCTTTGTCATTTTATTCTATCAAGAGCCGTACCATCAATAAGATCATAAATCACCGATGTCCAGTTTATATGATAATTGCAAATGAGGCTGACCTCAGAGCGTTATCAGAGTCTAACATTAATTAAAAATAGACCCAGTCAACTCATAATTGAAGGGGGTTCTATAAATGTTGTCAAACAATGTAGGGGATAGTTGCAGCTATCATGGTTCATGGTATCAGTTTCGATGAAGGGATTGTATACAATGGGACCATTTACTTTTGATACAAGGCGGTCATAATTCTTTACAGCCATTTGATGTGAAATTTGATAGCTTACATGCGTCACAAAGTTTGAAAAGATTTCTTTTGAAGTTTGAGCTTGGTCAATGAAATAATTACAACCACCCAATTTCACATCCAATGGTCAAGATTAATGTGACCACCTTGTATGAAAGGTAAATTGTCATTTTCTATACTTTCCCCTTGAGAAAATTTGATACTAGGGGAATAGCCATATCACCATTTCCATGCCCTTAGAGAAGCGAACCAGGATCATGTTGGCTGGCAAGGCTAGGTGCTCTCCTTGAGTATTAGACTATAGTTTTGTTTTCACAGGTTTCTTCTTAAGGAACCAGTTCTTTTTAACTTTGGGTGTATGTTGCTATGTAAATGATGAAATGGTACATGGTGCAATGTTAATGAAATGGAAACACATTAAAGTTATTAAAGTGGTACATGGTGCAATGTTAATGAAATGGAAAGGCATTAATGTTATTAAAAGAGAAGAAAAAAAAGGGTAATTACATTTACTTCAAGAGCATGATCTCACTCTGCTTCTATCACATTTCTCCTTCAAACTTCTTAGTAAATAAACTTAACCAAAAGGAATAGAAGGGAAATAAAAACTCATCAAATCTAGGGGTAGCAACGGCTCAGGCTAAGTCCGGGTGCGGAACCCAGACCCGACCAAAAAATTAAAATATATAAATTTTAGTATTTAAACTGTTATATTGAATATATACATGTATTATTTTAATATTATAAGTAAAACATATAGTTATATTATTAAAATATTATATATTAAGTATTATTTAGGGAAATTATCAAACTTATACCTTAATTTTTTGATTATTAGAAATAATCCTCAAACTTTCTAAACTCTCATTCATATCCCTCTTTTGGGTGAGTAGATGAAAATAGCTTTCACAGTAGTCTTAGAACTATGAAAGCATCACAATCTATTAAAAACTATGATGGTCATGACGAATCATGTAGTCTCGAAGCATCACGACATTTAAAGAACAATGATGATTTATTGGACTATCACGATTCTAATTTAACTGCCACATGGCATACGAACCCTTAACAACTATCGCGGCTTTTTAAGTACTGTGATGTCTCAAAACATCAAACTACCTATGACTATCATGACATTGAGGCTACCGTGATGTCTTCATGTTTGTAAGACTACCAGAAGGCTATTTTGATAAAAGAATGGAAAAAATATAGAAAAGGGTATGGATGAGGTTTTGAAAATTTTAAAGTTTATTTAAAAAAATTAAGGTGTGTTTTTTTATAAAAGTAATGATCTTATAGGATCCTCCTCCAGGACCATAAAAGACCACCATTAAAGTTGGCACGAATCTTTAAAAAAATTATCACATGGGTTGTGAGACTTGACTTTTCTATAGATCCATGCCAAATTTAATGGTGGTCCTTTGGAGTCTTATACATATGGGTGGGGAAGGGTCATATACGATCATTTATCATATAATATATATCGTTTTGTAAATTTTGTGTTAATTGTATAAGTAATGAACCTATAGGATCCTCCATCACCAATGTATGTAGGATACATATGATTACCATTAAATTTGACATGAATATCTAAAAAAGTTATCTCATGGGTGTGGCACTTGACTTTTTTAGAGATGTTGTTAAATTTAATAGTAATCTTTTGGTGTCCTACACATATAGGTGGGGGAGGATCTTATAGAATCATTTTTTTTTTTATAATTATTTTATTATTTAAATAATACTACTATTCGGGTCGAGCCCGCATAAAACCAGACCTGAATATTGTTCGGGTCACACCGACTTATCGGGTCCATTTTTTGAACCCACATAGGTCTCATCCGGTCCGCTGCCACCCCTAATCACATATTTATGAGTTGGAATAGTTAAAAACCGTAAAACGTTAAATAGTTGCCAAATCAAGTATATTTTGAAAATTTTCTCAAAAAATTAACTTAAAAAAATTTTGAGCCAAAAAAATGAGAAAATATTAAAAAAGAAAAAAAATAAGGGAACCATTCCGGTCCGGTGTAGTTATCCAAGTTCAAGACCAGGTCAGAATGACCTCGAAGTATTTTTTATTTTTTATTTTTTGATATAAAACAGGATACTGATCCATGGTTTCCCTTAAAAAACCAGGGGCCATTTTCACCTTTTTTTTTTGTTAATCACACCCAAAATATACGTGGATTGCAGATATTTCGGGTGGGAATAGAAAAAATATGATTGAAAAACAGAAGCTTAAAAATTTGTGTGAGAGCCAAGATAGCGTCTCATTGCATCATCCTTGTGACCTACAACCGACGCCCTCTCTCTCCTCTTTGCGCTCTCTCTCTCCTCTTTGCTCTCTCTCTCCCCTCTTTGCTCTCTCCCCTCTTTGCTCTCTCTCCAGTCTTTGCTCTCTCTCTCTCTCCTGTTTGCTCTCTCTCCAGTCTTTGCTCTCTCTCTCTCTCCTGTTTGCTCTCTCTCCAGTCTTTGCTCTCTCTCTCTCTCCTGTTTGCTCTCTCTCCAGTCTTTGCTCTCTCTCTCTTCTCTTTGCTCTCTCTCTCCCCTCCATTCTCTCCCCTCCTCCTTTCTCTCCCCTGTTTTCTTTCTCTCTCCCCTCCTCCTTTCTCTCCCCTGTTTTCTTTCTCTCTCCTCTTTGCTCTTTCTCTCCCCTCCTCCTTTCTCTCTATGACGTCTATAGCCATCTAATACCCTCCCCCTCTGATGACGCCTGGTTATCTGAACCCGTCTCCTCTCTCTCTCTCTCTCTCTCCCCTCTCTCTCTCTCTATATGAGACAGCAGAAACCCAAAATCTCTTCAACCCTACTCTGAAAGTATCTTCGTCATTTCCCACACATGCGGGCACGCAGGAAACACAATAACTTACGAAACCCAATTGCCCTCTCTCTCTAAACAACAGCCCCACAGTTCTGTATCTTCAACCCATTTGCCCTTTCTCTCTATAGAATCCAAACATCAGGAAAGAAAAACAGGAACTCCCTGCAATTCTTACCCAATTCAATGGATTGGCTCTTCATCTTAGTCCCCTGTTTTTATCGCTTCCAAAGATGCAATCTTTCCCCCTCAGACCTTTACCCATAACGCTCAACCAGAGTTAGAGAGAGCAACAAGGAAAACCCAAGAGACCCATTTTGAGTTCCAGCCTCACAGGATGCATTTTAGGAGCTTAGATGAGTTTTGGCCCTTCTACATGAACCAGCACTCGAAGGCCTCGACCAGGCGATGGCACTTTGTCGCTACTCTCTCTGCTCTCTTCTTCTTATTGCTCTCTCTCCTCTTTAGATGGTGGTTCATCTTTATCGCTCCTATCTCTGGCTATGGTCTTGCATGGTATAGCCACTTCTTTGTTGAGGGGAACACGCCTGCAACTTTTGGCCATCCTGTTTGGTCCTTTCTCTGTGATCTCAAGATGTTCAGTCTCATGCTCACTGGTCAGATGGACAGAGAGATAAAGCGTCTCGGAAAGCGGCCTGTTTTATCAGTTTTTTGACCGGTCCATCAATCGAATGGGATAATATGGTATTTTCATAATCGATGGAAAATTGCTTTCAACACTTTCTTTCACTGTAATTTGATTGATGGTTTTTCTTATTTATGTGAATTAATTGGTCATGTATGCTTTACTTTGAGATTTATTATGTAATTCAGATAATCAATTTGATGTATGGGTTTTACTGTGTAATTCAGTGTTCCATTTTGATGGGTATGTTCCTTGTTTTTCTTCTGATTCATATTATCATTTTGTTGGTTATGGTGGTTATGGTGCATTTATCTCTGTCATTCAGTGTTATAATTTGATGGATATGGTGTATTATGTTTATGCTTTTGAAGCTCTCTATGTTTTCTTGGGTGGGCGCTCACTCTGTTAACAATAAAAAAAATAAAAAGATAACACTTTGTTAATGAAGTGAAGGCATTATGTCAATTATTATTGTAATTTGGGGTTGGTGTTTTGTTTAAGAGCTTGATTAAAAATGGAGAGTTTTATGTACTGGTAATCCAGATTGATTAGTCTCAAAAAAGAAAAAATTGAACACTTGGAATCACATCAGTTGAGGATTGGCCCCCTAATATACAACTTGTCTCTTTTATATATGATTTTTTGTATAATTTGTTTTAACATATGATTAGTTGGTCCATTGATTAGTCTAGGCGTCATTCCCGGTCATAGGATCAGTACGATTTATTGGTCAAGAATCTTGACTGTAGATCAATTTCTGTGAAACTTGTAAAACAACTCTCTCAATTTTCTCAAATTGACTTCGCTTTCAGAATCAATGATCGTTTTTCTAGATTTAAAAGTCCATTTTTTCCATGATTGTGGACCGGAAACACTCTAAAACATCTGTACTTTATTCTGCATCATAAAAAGTTGGATTTCAAATTGATTTTGCATTTCAGATCAGATTTTGAGGTGGCATTCGATTTGGAACATTTCTAGGTCTCCAAATCCTTTTTTTTAAAATACTTTTTCACAAGATTGATTGTGGAGAGTAGGAGAAGGATTTTGGGACCTCAGTTATCAAAAAACCTGCCAAATGAGGTGTGACTGTACCAAAGATTAGTTATTGCAATGTGTCTTTTATATTCTTTTCATTGCAAGTCATGAAGTTAGAGGTTGTTAGCATTCTTTTATTGATAACTAGTGGCTCCAATGCCATGGTTGTTCTTGTGCATTTTTTTTGCAGAATTTAATGGTTGTTTTATTGTACAGGGTTTGTTTAATATAGTGAACATAATTTACGATTGCAAAAGGGAATGTCAGGTGGCATCCCATGACTAAGGAACGAGAAAATAAACAAAAGGAAATGGTTGCTCTACTCCTCCTCCGGTTTTTAATTGTGGATGCTTAAGGTCTTGGTTTTGTTTAGGCATATTTTAGTGGTACTCTTGATCTTGATTTACATACAATTAGTTATTTCACGATGATCATGGTTCTGTAATATGGTATGATGCTGTGATGCTTATGATCTACATGGCACACACACACATATCTATGTGCTTATGTGCAGCAACAGATTAGCCTTAGCAGGTGCAAGAGTTCTTGTATCGTGTCTTGGACTATGGATGCTCAGTATGATATGCCCATTATTAGTCCAATGTTGCGTTAAGGCAAGGGGCGAGGCTAAATAAAGTGAGCTTAGACATCCCATCATCAGAAATAGAAAAATGTTTCTAGAATAACTGAACGGTCATCTTCTCAACCAAGAGAGAGAGAGAGAGATGTACACTCCCAAATGTTGAAGTCAGCTAGGTGGCATTTGAGAATGATGCAAAGGACCACATTTAGACGTTTAGAACTTTTGCCTGGTGAAGAAAGAACATTATTGAAACTTTGTTTTCATCAATTTGGTAGCATGTGAAAGAGTGGCAAAATCAGTGACAGAGAGACAAAATGATATTAGACGCATTTGATACAGTTGTGAAATAGGTTTCCTGTCAAACTTCGCAATTGAAGTCATTGCTTGTGATCTCCATGTTATTTGGGTGGTTTATAGTGAGGTCATTCCAAGTCTTGGATTGAAGGACTCTGGTGATATTCTGAAATTGTTAGTTGATGGCACTCCAAGTCTAAAGCAAAGACCATGGAGGGCTATACAATGGATTTATGCAAGAGATTGTTATTGTGCACCTTTTGATGTGGGCACTTGATATGATGCGTAACACATCATGCACTACTTAAAAAACTGCTATATCATGCTTATATTCACAAGGTACTTAGTTGAGTGGTGTGACGCAACATCATTCAACAGCATTCAAGGGTAACATGCCCCTAAGTTCATAGTAAACATCATTGGCTCATATGGGGTATTGGGGTACGGATCATCATATATTTGTAAGTGTCTTAAGGGTGGAAATTACTTATTGTTGTGCAAGGAAACCATATCTTGTCATTTCCTAGTGTGATTTTATCCTCAAGGAGATCGCAAGGACACAAACACTACATTGATCAAGATCATGTCAAGGGTGCAATTGCAGGAATTGGCATGTGAAACTAACACAACACATTTTGCATACGCATGTCAAGGGTGCAATCGCAGGGTTTGGCATGTGAAACTAACGCAACACATTTTGGCATACGCACGTCGAGGGTGAATGTCAATAGTTCATGAAAAGAGGCCAGTAATCACAATTGTCAAGGTTTGTAACTTAATTGTGAAAGGAAAATTAAGATGATGATCCTACTAGCACATGAAAAGGAACTTGAGACTGTTTGTATATTGCTAGGGAGACATATACAGAGTTTCCAATCAAAGACTTTAGATGGAGATCTGTGTTATGCATGGCCATTGAGAGTACAAAGTGAAGACAGAGAAGGGTTTGAGTTCTACTAACAATCGGGCATGTTGAAGTACAAGAAGGAAAATTGTATACAAAAAAAAGGGAAAAAAAAGAATTGTTGTTCGATGTGATCAGACATGTTGGGCCTAAGAAGCTAGGTTTAAATGGTGCCACAGCAAAAGATGTGATCACTTGAGAAAATTACCCACTAAGAAGTAATGACCTCAGTAAAGAAAATGTATTTGAAACGAAAGCATCCCAGGTGTTTGAATCGACTAAGAGTGGAATTCCACGCCCTATTTACCACCACACAATGCATGTAGTTGGTGAATTAAAAAGCTCACTGTTAATTTAGGGGACAGACCGCTATTCTGACGATTCTCGATTCTTACTCTTCTTAGTATTTCATAACATACAGTTTACTACTATTGTTTTTGGTTGAGGTTGGTTCTTGCGGGGGAGAAATAGTTGAGAGGTTCAAATCCTTCAACTGCCTTATATCCCCCCTTTGTTTTTGTAGTTTGGCTTTTAATAATCAAAGAGTTGGGCCTCTGGCCATTCATATTCCTTGCAATGCCTCAAATGATGACGAAGGATCATGTTTCCTTCATGACCATGCCCATGAAATTATAGGGTCAAATGACTGGTTGAAAAGGGAAGTGAAAGAGCAAGTCAATCTCCATGATAACAAAGTTTACCCATCAAAGTTACTTCTATCAGAGATACTTGTGTAGTTGCCTTAAGTGGTAGGTGCACTTTTTAACTACACCTCTTTAGTCCCTTGTTCTTGACTACTTTTATCAAGACATTGCTGCATGGTATCCTCTAGGCCAATGCTTTTAGTCTAGGATAGAAAATCATGTAAATCCGTATTGATATCTGCAGTTTGAGAGAAGGGCTATCATTGTGGAGGGTAGATGCAGCTTAAATTGCCGTTAACTCCGGAGAGTTACAGTACTTGCATGAATTTTAACCGAGTTAGGCACGAGATAGATTGGAAACTACCAAAATATATAATGAGACTGCTTATGTTTGGTACAAAAGGTCACAATTACCCTAAGCTTTAGCTTTGGTACAAACAGTTCGCAATTACCCTAAGCCTTCAAATGTGAAATTGAGCATTTGAGGTGTATCATTGACCATGGTTGAAGTCTGAGAAATTTTTTGCGGGACGTTGCATAGAAATTATTTGCCCTTCCCATTCGATTTTACATTTGACAGCTTGAGGAGTGCACAAAAGGTGATAGTCTCATTGTATATAATCCCGAGATAGATCATTTGATGCAGCATAGAATCATTATCCAAGCCTATATAGTTCATCTCCAGGGGAGATTTTGGGTGTTTATTGCTGGAAAATTTGATCCATATGGGTCTCTTGTAACCCCCCTTGGGATTCCTTTACATGAGAGAGGGGGAGAGGTTCATGCAAATACACCTGAGAGAGAGAGAGAGAGAGAGTCCTCTAAGAACCCTTTCTCTATGCTTTTTCTTTTTGATGAAGCTCTTGTGAACCCATGTGGCAATAGTTACGTTGCTAATGCAACCATGGTCCATGTGGTTTCCTCGTGTTTTTATTTGGATGAGGTTTCTATAAGCCTAGGTTATATGAAAAAAAAATACAAGTCTCACCTCATATTTTCATCGGGAAAGCACTGAGCAACGGAAATCTCTATAACAGCTCTAAAATCAATTTCCAACACCTACAATAAGTCAAAAAATGGTATAGATCTTGGGGATCTATGAACATTTATTTTCAAGGCAAAATGGATGGTCCAGATAATTTATTATAATACACACTATTTTTAGAGGTTGAAAACCTAATTTTCTTTCGCAACTATAATGTTCAAAGGAGATGATTGATTTAAAGGTTTTTCAATGCTTGACTTATAATTTTCAATGAGTTAGGAGGTGAGGATTTACTTATTTTGATTCAAACCATTTTTTTTTCTTTTTGTCTTTTTTTTTTTCTTTTTTTAAGGGTCTATGTGTGTGCACGCATGCGATACTCGCACACGCGATTATCTTTTATAGCAATATTAAAATAACAGCAGGTAGGCAAGCTTTCTTCCCGTTGAGCTCTATTATAGTTCTAGCTCCATTACTTCCTCCATTCACTGCCAATCTACTGCGAGAACAATGAGTTTTACATGTTGCCTTGTTTGTATGAACTTTAAGGCTAATGTCGGCGTATAAATTAAATGTTAGATTTTAAGTGACATTTGGTGGTGTTGTGGTGGTATTTCATTAAAAAAAATTAATAAAAAGTGATTAAATTTCTAAAGCATCAGGTTCCCAAATGTTTAAATTTCTAAAGCATTGGGTTCTCAATATGTTGAAACAGTCTATAAAATCATAGATACATGTATCCAAGTTATACAGGTGTTAGCAAAAAAGTCAAAAGACATGAATGTCGAAGTTACATAGATCTTAGTTCCTACCAACCGATATACCTAAAAAGATCCTAGAAGCTTTTTGCACAATTAAAAGCCCTTAAATTTCGATTTCAACTTTTCAACCAAATAACTGCCTTTTTTATTTACTTTTTTGAACAATAACCACAATTAGATTTTCATGGTATTATCGATCAAAATATTATTTTCATTGAATCTTTTTTTTAACAAAGGATCTCTATGCTCTCTCCTTACCTATAAAAAAACCTAGAAAGAGCTCTATCTTCTCTCTCTTAACTCCCCCCTTAGTCCCATCCAATGGCTTTTCTTCTTGATGTAACCCAGGATACTGTTCTTGAGTATCCAGATAAGAGAGACAAAGTTAAAGTTTACAAAAAAAATTATAGAAATTATTGAATCTGTCTTTTATGTATTTTATATTGCTTGAGTCATTTTGTTCACTTAGAGACATAAGTAGTATTTCGAAAGTTTTTAAAACATTTTTATTGACCTAAAGTCTTTTATAATAAATTATCATTATTAGATTAGTTCGATAGCCATAATTAAATCTTGTTTAAGATTTTCTTATATCAGAAATGTACTCAAACATAATGAAAGATAGTGTTGTGGATTTTATTTAAACCATTAGAGTGCTCCTCTTTTTATTTCTGATTTTTTAGTCTTGCTTTAATTTTAGATCTTCCCTATCTTCTTTGCTAAACCCCAGCTCTAGGCTGCCATGTTTGCGCCACTTTTTTTTCTCTTTTTCTTCAAAAACCATTGCAAATCCATCTACATGAATCAAAAGTTGCAACACTCCTCAATATTCTTTTTGAGATCATATAGTATTTGTTATGAAATAGAATAGATTGGTAGCTCAGTAGTTATCTCTCTGCTCCCACTCGAAATTACAGTTGGTTGAAGTTCCTATTTTTGTTCTATCCATATGTTTTTTTTTTTCATTCCCTTATATAGAATGCTTCATTCTCTTCTTTCTTCTCTTCTCTATCTATTATCCTTTTTTAAGTATCTCTTATCTATCTATATCTATTCTATTTTCTCCTTTTCTTCTACTCCTTTCAACGCCCCTGCTCTGTTTCTTTTTTCATACAACTCCCACTAACTGAACTCTACTTTGCATTTTCAGATTGTCGTTGCTGCTCTCATTGCAGTTAATTTCGGGCTCACAGGCCAGGGAACCTTCTCTAAAACCTATGCAGATTTGGTGGTCTTCTTCAATTGCATCTACGTCTCCGCCTTTGCGTGGTCCTGGGGACCATTGGGCTGGCTGGTCCCCTCACAATTACATGTGCTTGCGGCTACTTAGAATTTTCTTGATGTGAAAATTTGGGACCTGCTTTGAAATTGCTACGAGTATGATTGAGTTTTACTAGATTTTTTGAGATTTTAAACTCTTAAGATCTGTCTGAGAATAGCATAACATGATGAAGTTATATCCCCAAAATTTGATATCCAAAAAGTATTCCTAAAAGAGGTTTTACCCAAGGGAATGAACGTAAGATATGCAGCTGATACATGTGAATGTAAGAGATGTGCCCCGATGTCTTTTTCAATCTGCCATTCAAAGTAAATGCAGAGAAGAGGATGCAATGATAAACACCATATGGCCTAAGGAAATTGGATCTGATAGATGAATCAAACAAAAATATAGTTTCTCAAGAGCTCGCTATCCAGAGAGGGCGAGAGAGGAAATGAAGAAAGTGTCACGGAAATACATGGAGCACAGGGAGGAGTGTTCGTGAGATTTTTTTCCAGAGAGAGATTCTTTTTAGCTGAGGAGATTTTGATCCATAATATTGTGAAAATAATTCTGGGGGCTATTTTGGCTGATAATTGGAACATGGGTTTTCTTTTTAAGAAAAAAATAAAAATTGCACACACAAATGATTGTTGTGATTTGTTACTCAAGCTTCCTATAATTGAAGAAATTGCCTCTCTCTCTCTCTCTCCCGCTTTGAGACATACTGTTTACACTCGGATTTGCATCGATCTAAGAGCACGATCAAATCAAAAAACAACATATATCAATGGTGGGAATGGAAGGGCAGGACGCTATGTCCAGGCATCCGCCCCCCTAACCACCCGTGCCCCACCCCCATTCCGTCCTTCCCTTCCTCTCGCTCTCTCCAATGTCCACAAGTACGATCACCCATGAATTAGACTGTTCACGACAGCAATTATTCACCATGTTCAGTTAGTATTTTCTATAATCAAAGAAATTACAACTCTCTATTTCTCGCTCTCTTTCTCTTTCTCTCTCTCTCAAGTCAAATGGTAGAAACTTTCTTCATTAGCAAGCCTATCCCTTCAAAACTCCATATAAAACATTGCTAACACAGCCTCAACAACAACATCATGTTTTTAGAGCTCCGTGTTTCTCGAAAAGGAAGGCAACGCTGCACCTTCCTGTGGCCGAAAAATTACAAGTACACCGAACATACCAAGCATTGGAAGGACCATAAGCCATTTCAACAATTTATAATAATGCATGTGAAAAGAGAGAGAAAACTCATCTGAGAAGTGGAGGCCATTCTTGTCCACCATCTCAACCAACACTGTGCCAGTGGTTCGAACATTCACAGTCGGGAGCTTGATCCGCTGCTTTCCAGGCTGGCTGTAGATCTGGTTATGCTTAATCTGTCTCGGTCCTTGGTAATTACCGGGAACCAGCAACGTGGTCTAAAATGGTATTGAAACAGTTAGCCTTTGGGGGGAGAGAGAGAGATTTGAAAGGGCCTAAACCCCAATGCCAACTATTCAAATACCAGCGCAACTTATCCAGATACACAGAGAGAGAGAGAGAGAGAGAGAGAGAGAGAGTGTCGACGTGACTATAGTAGTGTCGTGAGACGACCGAAGAACTCTAATTGTTGTACGACTACTCCTCTACTCCTACCAACCCGTAAA